ATCTTCGACATCCAGAGTGTCTTGGCAAAGCCGGAGCCTGCGCCGGTTCCCGAGCCCGTGCCCGTTGCAGCTCCTCAGCCTTCGGATGCAGCGGCTCCGGAAGAGCCCGTGGTCGGAGTGGACATGGAGCAGCAGGGTCACGTGCCCGCGCAGCCCCAGGCCAGTATTCGGCTAAGGTTTTTCAAAGCAGCAGTTGTCATCACGGATGTTTGTGTGCCAGGCAAGACCCTTCGACAACATCTTCAAGCATCTCAGGCTTTCCGAGCTTGTGAAAGACATGCTGGGCAAGGTAGAGGAGAACAGGTTTGAGGAGCTGGTAGACTTTGCCCGCCTCCGCAACCTGTCTGACTTTCACTGTCTTCTGCTTTGTGCTTGTCTGCAACAGAGTCGCAAACCAGAACCATCGTCTGAGGTGTCAATTCCCTCGTTGACTTCAGAGTCACGCCTGCCAAGACTACGACAGCTGAGTACCAATCTGCCTTGATGGACAGTGTCAAGTCGGATTCTTCTCCCAAGATTTTCATAATCTACGATGTCAAGAACAGGATTCGCAATCTTGGGGAGGACCAGAAGGCGTATCCGTTCAAAAGGACGAATGCCATCGACCAGAGTCACTTCAGAACTTGGCTTCATGCCATCTTTCAAGACCCCAGTGTCAAAGGAGAGAAGTGTCTTGGGCTGCATGTTCAATTGCAATGACTGACTCATCTTGTCCGTCAGAGTCAGTCACGTTTTTTGTAAGTCAGGAAACCTGGCTCCGTGTTCACAGACATGGATATCTTTGTCACCTTGGATGGCCGATCGTCAGCGAACTCCACAGCCATGGCTGGCGAGATGACCAAGGTTTTGAAGAAGGCCCGGTCTGCACATGTGTCACGTGACCGTGGGTTAGGCCTTGAACATCCCGGCAAGGTCACTGATCTGGAGTTCTCAGTGAGAATGTGGACATCGATCCGACGGATGTACACGTGTCACGAGTTCTTTCCCGGAGAGTATGCCGCCCCAGCAAGGTCACACAGCCTCAACCCGAAGATGCCAGAGCCACTAGAGAATATGAACTTGGTTTTCACGAAGAGCTTTGGCCTCCCTTCCAGGGTCACGAGCAACCCTCGCTACTCGCTGGCGTCGAACCGCACACGAGCCTGGCCCAACCTCCGGATGAAAACGTTGGAGGAGCAAGAGCTCACGTCAGTGTCACGTGGCACCTACGATGAGGTCCTGGGTCACGCGGCTGGCGGCGAGGACAAGTCGGGCGACGTGCTGGCCGGTGTCATGCACTCTGATGAGTCCGACGGGGAAAAGCCGGCGTCAGAGTCACGTGCAGAGTCACGTGATGAGCCGATCTTCCTGTGTCCTTGGGAAGGTCCCGAGACGGACACCGAGGCCTTGTTGGAGCTGTTCCGCCCTGCCAGTGTCACGTGTAAAGTGATCTTCCTCACGCCAGGGTCAGGCATGGGAGTGCTCTCCGCGGTGCGCCAGAAGCTGCCTGCGGTCGTCTTCTGTGACTCTCAGTGTCACAAGGAAGTCATCTTCGAGTGCGTCCTTCTGCTCATCATCTACATGTTGGTTTCAGGGTCAGACACCACCGGCTTCGAGCTGAACAACCGTGTCAGGGTCTTGAGCCGTCAGGCGAGCCTGACCGGAAAAAAAGCGATGAAAAGCGATGCTGCCACCAGCATCACGAGTCAGCCGGGTGCCACCAATGACACGAAGCAGCCGGAGAAGACTCAGAGTGAGGAATCCAAAGCCAAGCCTAAGCACAGCTCTTCAGAGTCATCCTCGGACAGTGAGGGTGACGATGATACTCAGACATGAAGTGTCAGTCAGCGGGCCAAGTGGCTGCGTTGCGGAGTTTAATAATCAGACCTAAGCAGCAGCTGCTAAGAAATACAATAATATTGCTGTCCTGTCCAAGGCCTCCGCCTCTTGACCCGGGCTGCGTCACACGCACAATCCTCCCACTTTTGATTCTTTGCGACCGAGGGCTGCATCACGTGACACAATCTGCCCATTGATTGGAAAAGCTTGCCTTGCTGCCTTGCCGGTGCTGTGCTGCTCACTGACACTAATGACCCACGCAACAGCCAACCGGACCAGGTTTGCCGACGGCTGCAGTGTCAAGTGCCACGCATGTCATCATTCAGTCGCAGTCACGTAGACTCAAGATAGCGACAAGTAGACATGCATCATGGGGAAGAGACCGGCAGCGCGAGCTAACATTCTGCCCCAAAAGCGCACCTCATACGCCTTGTTCTTCAAGGCAAAGTATCAGGAGGTGAAGACCGACATCGAAATGAGGGTCGTGTGCAGCGCATGATAGTGTCACGTGTGGCCAAAATGTGGCGAGACCTGACAGTGTCGGAGAAGGAAGAGTGGCAGGGGGAGTCCTTGCAGGAGGTTCTTCATCGGCGTCAAGTTCGTAAGCAGCTCGAGGAGGAGGTGGCATTGTCAACTGCCCCACCCGCCCAAGTCAGCACTCTGACAGGTGCGCCCTTTGCGATAGGGGACTACGTCATGGAGGGGCAGGGTCAAGAGCTCTGGGGCGGCAGCTCAGTGTCAGGTTTTCCTGCCAAGCACCGCGTGTTGCTTTCAAAGGCGACGGCTGTCGTCTACAACAACAAAGACGACTGCACGGAGCACATCAGGGTCGCAGAGATTATCCGCAGCAACATCCGGCACCCATCCCTGTGGGTCAAGATTCTCCAGACAATCCAGCACGGGGTGATGCTGCCTTGCTTCATACAGGAGTCCTATCCCGCAGTAATGTGCGAAGGCCCTTTGACGGGCGACAGGCTGCTTGTCGTCACAAAGCAGCTCGGCGTGGCTTTGGAATTGCAGTGGGGACAGCAGGATGACAAGTCCTAACTGCCGCGAGTGTCGTCACCTAAGCAAAGGAAGAAACGAAGCGACGGCCAGCCTGAGCTGACAGTCGAATGGCCTCTTGCTCCAGCTCTTGTTAGCCTGAGCCTTCACATGAAAGGCAGCTCTAAGAGAGCCACTACAACGTCTGTCGCAGAGAAGCCTGGCGGCCTCATCTACACGTCAGCAGCTAAGCCTGGCCAAGGA